CTTCAAGTTGAATCCATTAAGAAATCCAATGATATCAGCAGCAAAAGCTAATTTCCAAAGCCATTTAGTGTTCGATAATAGTGGTTGAGGGCGTTTTTTCTCAATGAGAAAAATTTCAATCTCTGCTCTGAGTTCAAAAAATCTTAATAAAACCTTACCACTGCTGAGCCATCGAACTGCTGTGTGGTAGGGTAAGGCAGGATATTCGGCTTCCGCTTCTGACAGAAAATCACGGAACTGACGATGGTTCAGCCTACTAGAACGAATGAAGTTCACCGTTGACACAACTGGTTCTAAAACACACGACAGATTAAGATATTTGCCACAAAGTACATGCTGGTGAATGATACAATGAATAACCATAGGCCTTGTACACCTTGCATTTGTACAAGCTGTGTAAATGATTCCAACTAAGCCTTTACCTGTTCCAGACATATTTTTACCACCATCAGTTTTCACACATTTTAGCTGATTCCACTTTAGATTGTACTTCGTTAACATTTCCTCAACTTCCTTGAAAAGGTCTTCACCTGTAGTTGTTCCACGCAGACTACTCATAGAAGCTAATTCTTCAGTCACTTCAAAGTCAGCATTGACTCCTCGAATAAACAGCAGCAATTGAGCAGTATCTGTAATGTCTCTCGACTCATNTGCGTTACCGTGTCTCACGGTGTTGTCGCTTGCAGATTTACCTATACTTTTTCTTCAACCCTGAAGATGGGGGCGATACGTTCCTCCGAAACGTCGGTTAACACCACATATACACGGCGCCAAAGCCCAGAAGACTGCTTTCTTCATGATTTAATTAACTCACCATCAGTAAAGGGTTTTCCTTCCTTGGCTAACAAATGAGCTACTAGTAGACTTACTTTACTTGCAGCCTTATTTTCATTTTCGTGAAGAAACTGTGTTGTAATGAAATACTCTGTTTCAAAGTTTCTAATTTTTGTGATCGTTCCTTCCCTGTGAGTTGGGAATACTGTGCCGAATGCTTTGTCTGGTAATGCCGACGTATATTGTACTCTTTTAGTACAGCTATAGTATCGCTGCACAATAAACACAATGCTTTGCCATCTAATTCAGTAACAAAATAATTCTCACTCCACTCTGCCTTAAAAGCACGACATTCCAAGTCCACTTTTCTCTTCTTTTGTGTTTTCGACAGCGACATGATGGATATCCATTGGTATTAAAAAGACACAGAACAGCGATACACGTGGCATTCGTAACACTGTATGTCATCACAGCTGGAGCCATGAAGGAACGTGCAAATGGGAAGCTGTAGGAACGCCACACACGGCAATTCTCGCAACTCCTCAACTCAAGGTCGGCCGTTGGAGTGCGTAATCATCCATAGACAATATGTTCGAAAAAACGTAGGTTTCTTCCTATAAATAAAGCTTCATAGACGCAGAAATATTAAATTCATATTATAATAATTATCTTGTTTCATGAAATATCATCCCACTTTGACATTTTTAAGAGTTTGGAAATGTAAAATCTATTCTTAGCGCGCGGGCCGCAGAAAAAGCGGCGGCGGGCCGGAGTTGGCCCACAGGCCGTAGTTTGCCGACCCCTGGTCTAGATGATGTGGGAACCTCAACATCTCTGAACCCTATGGGCCTCCACAGCCTGTTATAGGGATACCTTTACTTTATGGGTGGTATAGGTCGCAGTGATCATTACTGCACAGCATATGCTTTCATTTGTAAATCTCTGAAGTGGTGGAGAAAACTCTCTTTCTGGTGCCTGGAAGTATGCATTGTAAATTCATACATTTCGTACAGCAGCTGTAAGGCACACATGGGAGTGTAACAGATGTCACATGTCAAGTATCAACAAGCTCTTAATGAAAATCTAGTAGGCGATGTGCACAACCCAAGAAAGCGGTCACTTCTCGGATCAGCTGAGAGTGAAGAGAGACTAAATACAGTGTCTCACTTCCTCTACCACTATTAATAAAAGAAACACAAAGACTGCACTGTGTACAACAATTGGAAGGTCAAGGGAGCCAGAAAAGAAACGTATTTCTGTTGTAAGACCTGCAACTAAGATTCTAAAAAACAAGTAAAAATTATTTTTAAAATGAATTAGGGTAACTGCTTACTTTGGTTCAGGGGTTGGAAAGTGCTGGCAGCTATGAAGCACCTCAAAGAGTTGCAGGGAGTATTCCCAGCACTGATGTGTGCTTTAAGTGTTTGTTCTACATTGGGGAAGTGATGATAATGGCCTTGGCACTGCTTTCACACTTATAAGGCCAAGATTCCATTGTGAATGGCTTAATATGGGATTTGTGGTGAATGAAGTGCAATTGGTGTACGTTTCTTTTTTTTTTNTTTTTTTTTTTTTTTTTGCCAAGTTCCTTTAGATTTATCCTGTTAATTATTAGTCCATAAAGTAACTTATGTGAGAAAATCGTCATCGGTTGTCTTTACTCATTAATTCATTTTGTCTTGGCCACTGATGATGTTGGTGTTATGGCTTCATTTCTGTCTTTCAGAGTCTAGTCCATCAGCCATTAACAAATTTTCTTCTGATTATGATTTTAAATCGTTTGTCACTGCTTTCAGCAGCTTGGACATTTTTGCTTGAGCACATCATGTTTCCCTCTGCTTATCAAGGTTGATCCATGAACATCAAATTTCCCCTGAAACCAACTGAACAAAGTGTGGCAACTGCCCATATTGAGTCAAGCACTAGCCGGTCACAGTATAGAAACCATCCAGTGCTAGGCAACAGCCTGGTAAACACGTTTCCTCAGACACATTTCTTGAATAAACAACCCATCACTAGGTAAAACCCACAACACAGTTATCACTGCTACGTAATAACTGAAGATCACACTTCAGGGAAGTAGTTCAGCAGGAACGCGGTAACCAAACAGAAGGAAGAGGTGTTCACTATAAGGTCAGAGCAAGACTACCCAAGGCGGACTAATATAGGAAGAAAAACCAACCAGAGGGAGAGGGAGATCTTCTTCAAACAGTCTACCTGCAATCCACAACCTGCAACTGAAGTTCTTCTGTATATTGTGTATAACAACAATAAATATTTGTATAGAAGTTTAATAAGCGGTTGTCTCTTCAAATAATGGCAGATTCCACAAAAGTATACCAAACAGTGGGAAGGCCAGACTTCTGTCTTTAGATCTATATGGCACTAAGTGTTACATAATACATCACATGGATATATTATTAAAGAAAGAAACAGGTCTGAATATATCAGCTCCGGTGGTCTTCACAGGAATGTGGCCTTTTGTTGTCAGCAAGTGGCAGGAGTAGGGCTGAAGACTAAGGGTTTTGCCAGACTCTTCTTTGTTATTGTAATTTGCTGCCCTGCACTTTTGAGTGTACATTGGAACAGCAAATGTTGTGATGATATATGCAATGACAAAACAGCTCATAATTGCTGAATGAATTTTCATGAAATGTGATATTGGGGGGTTTTAACTAAAGTTGCACACATATCAGACTTCCTTGTAACTGACTGAATATTTATTTGAATGAAATATATATGAACTGAACATTGTAGAGAAAAATGAGACACACATTTTATATCAAAGACAGTTCTTTCATAAATCATATGGTTTTCAGGATAGTTAAAGAAAAGTAAGAGAATGAGTCACTGTTGTTACTCAGTATATATTTCCTGAATTGTTCCTGGTAGGTTCTCGCTTTATCTCTTCTCATTGCATATCTTCCCATATTTTGATTGTAGGCATTGCGGAATTGGTGTTCAACACAATTCAAGCAGCAGACATTGATATGCGAACTGAACTTTACAAACATATTGTATTGTCTGGGGGTTCAACCATGTACCCTGGATTGCCCAGCAGATTGGAGCGTGAAATCAAGCAGCTGTACCTTGAACGAGTGTTGAAGAATGACATAGACAAACTATCGGTACAGTCTGCAGTAATATTTAATATATTTAATATGTCTAATATATCTGTAAAAGTCATGTGTGAGGCTTACAGCCTCACTGCCATCTGTGAGCCGACTGTTTAGAAACTTTGGGATCCTTGACCTCTCACAACCCTGTGGCTCTCCACAGCCTCTTACAGGGATAGCTTTTTGTCTGTAAAAGTCAAGGAGCCGGGATAGCTCAGTCAGCATAGTGGTGGGCTAGGGCTGGGTGGCTGCGATTTGATTCCCATTAGGGGCAAATATTTTCCTCTTCTCCATAGCATTCAGACTGACTCTGGCTCCCACCTAGTCTACTATTTAACGGGTACCTGAGGCACTTTCTTTTGGAATTGGGGGGGGGGGGGGGTAAAGCAGCAGGGGCATGAAACTGACCACTGACCTCCATCTAATGGTGAGGTCAAGAATTGTGGTGCTGTACCTCCACTCCCCCATACATCTACATGGCACGGTGCTTAATTAACTAATCACAAGGACAACCTTGCTATGCCTGTATGTTATAATCAACTTCTGGTCTATGGCGATGTTGATTATTAGGTTGAAATATAAATAAAAGGCAGAAGATAGGTGCTAGTGCCCACACTGAGGCTTGGCCTTCTTGTGGAGGGATAGCTCCAGTCTTTCTTAACTTCTAGCACTAGATGAATGTTTACAAAATGTAAATACTGTAACAGAATCATACAGGATCTGTATTAGACACAAATATGGACACTGGTGTACGTGTAATGATAGGAAAACTACTCATCTGTGTAGTTTTATGTCTGCTAACCTGGATGCAATACAGACTGGCAACATGAAGTTTGCTAATAAATCCTTTGAAATTGTGAAGAGCTCAAATGTCAGGGAATGATATGAAGGTAAAAAGATCAAAGTCAGAAATGTAAAATTGACCCTGTGTATACTTCAGTACCATGCCATGAAGATGAATGGGGAGCAGGGGTATAGATCCACACATTCTAAACTTTAGCACTAGACAGAGATAAATGGTCAGCTTTAAACTGCGCTATGCCCAGGGAAGGAGCCCCGAGTACCTGTTGGATAGGGTGGGCTTTGAACATGGTGTGGAGAAGATGTAAATCTGGAAAGTAGCAGGTAAGATTCCCAGTGAGGTCATTGGATTTTTCAATTTACCTAATCCCTCTAGCTGCACTATGACCCTTGGCTTGACTCAGCTTCCAACAGAAATGAGTACCAGGAATCTTTGTGGGGTAAAGGATAGCCAGCGTACAAGGAAGACAACCACACCACCATCTGTGAGCTGATTGTCTAGAAGAAATGTGGGAGTCTTGACATCTCACAACCCTATGGGCCTACATGGCCTGTTAGAGGGATAGCTGATTCTTCAGCTGTCATATTATGTTCACTGTGATATCCTGGCTTTATTTGGAAATGTCAATAATGTCAAAGTTATAGTCATGAAGAAATTAAGAGCAGATGAAATATGAGGAATGTTCATTACTGTTCAGTTTAGAAATTTGGTTTCTCACATTATGGGAAGAATGTGGACTGATGGTGTTCTGAATAAGGAAGCTGAAGGGAACATGTGGACTGCAGAGAAAAATATTAACTGGAGGCTTGAGAAAACTGCATAATGAGGAGCTTAATAACTTGTACATCTTTCAAAATATTAGGGGGGATTAAATAGAGGAGGATGAGATGAGTAGGACATATAGAATGCTCAGGAGAGAAGGGCACAGATGGGAGGAGAATAAAATGAATCCAAAGATATTAGTGGGTGTGGTTGTGAACTGGATTCATCTACAAAGCCAAAACAACTCCGTCCAGAGTGACTATTGAAGTTTTTACTACTTGTAAACTTAGCACCCTTACATGTTTCGGTCCCTATAGACCGTCATCAGAGGGACATCGATACTTTTTTGGATGGAGTTGTTTTGTCTTTGTAATTGTCAGCGTGACAGACCAGAATGAAACAAATCAAATGGATTCATTTAATTTTGCTATGGCCCAACGGTGGACCTCTTGTGAATGCGGTAATGAATATACAGGTTCCATTAAAAGGTAGGTCATTTCTTGACTAGCTTAGCGACTTCTTAAGGACTCTGCTGCATACCGGTATGTATAAGTTGCTGTTGTAAAATATTCAGGAAAGTAATTTTAGGATACGTGGTCTGACAATAAAGTTTCTAAACTCTCCACTGCATGCCTGCTGTGGCAGCAATGGACAGAAACCTCACCAGGGTTTGACGACGTTGGCATATCAGCATTTCGCAACTGTGTTATTGTTGATCTATGGCAGTTTCTCTCTGAGTGGCATCTATTATTGCCTGAGTGTGTTCTGGTGTGCCATTGTGAGAATGTTGGAGCTTCATGTTAAACTTGGCAAGAGTGGAAGCGAAATCAGAGAGATGTTAGCGAAAGTTTACAGGGATACTGCTATGAAGAAAAGAGCAGTTTGCAAGTGAGTGACACGTTTTTCTGAGGGAAGAGAAAGTGTCACTGATGAAAAGAAAAGAGATCAGGACATCCAGCAATGAACAGCACTGAAGAAAACATTGCAGAAACTTGTCAAATTGTGCATGGAAATCGTTGGCTGACTGTCAGGAGCATAGCAGAGCAAACAAACATCAAGAGAGAAACAGGAAAATCTTAAATGAAGATCTTGACATTATGAAGGTGTGTGCAGAAATGGTCCCAAAGGACCTGCTCACACGCCACTGTCTGTGAGGGGGTTCTTAGCTAATAAACAAATAACTGTGCTGGAACAGTCTCCCTATTCACTGGATCTAGCTTCCGGTGACTTTTTTATGTTCTTGAAGATAAAGGAAATATTGAAAGGAAGGTATTTTGATAACATCAGGAGTAATATGATGGCAGCTCTGAAGGCCATTCTACAAAAACAGTTCCAAAATTGTTTTGAAGGGTGGCCTAGGCACTGGCATCTGTGCATAGCTTCCCAACAGGAGTACTTTGAAGGTGACCACAGTGATATTGAGCAATGAGATAAATAGCACCTTTACCGCAATGAGTTCTTGAACTTTATTGTCAGATCATGTATCACAATTATTTCTGAATAAGCAATTTATTTTTTAAACTAGAAATCATACACTATTTTTTGTGGGATTTGAGATTCCTATGGCAGTGACAATAAAGATTACGTTCTGGGATATGATGCTGTATAATATAGCAGAGCTTTACCAGTGTTTTATAGGAGCCTGCTGTCCTGAAGATGGAGGCAGTAGATTGCTTGAAAGATTGATAATGATCTGCCAGACTAAATGGCATAACATCCCAGTAGGTCACTACCTTCTGGGATGTTATGCCATATACCATTTTGATACCCGACAACATTACAATTTTTTTAAACTTTAATCTCAGATTTAGGCTTAATGTTATGAGACACAACCGAGCAGTAAAGACATTACAAAGCACGTGGTTGGGTTGATCTAACATCATTAGAAAATTTTTGTTTCTGTGTTGACAGAAATTTAAAATTCGAATCGAAGACCCGCCACGGCGTAAGGACATGGTGTTCATCGGTGGTGCTGTGTTGGCTGATGTGACAAAGGACCAAGACACATTCTGGATATCGAGTGAAGACTATCAGGAAAAAGGAGTTGGTGTGCTCAAGAAACTGGGAGTGAGAGCCAGCTAGAACGTTTGGGCTCGAGCAAATGGTCATAAATTTGCTTATAAAACTGATTGCTCTAAGTCATGTTGAATTGACTGCATTAGCATCCCTTATCTCTAAATAGGAGGCTCATGTGCTTCACTGATGCCAAAAACTTGGACCGTCATTTCAGGGAGTCAGTAAAATATTTAGATTTAATGAAACCAAATCATCATCATTGTCCTTTAAGTACCCAGGTCCAGCCTGAGCATCCACTAGAAGATGACTTCTCTTCTTCTATGACATGACTGACTAATGAAGTCCAAGCCCTCCTGTTTTCCAGATTTTGGAATCTTGTTTCTAGACAGTTGATAGGACTCCTTGCAAAGGGAGTGTGTATACCTACACAGGATATCATAGGCGCAGAAAAAATGTAAACTTGTATCCATAAACCATGTAGGATTCAAACCCCATGATGCCAGTATCTGAACAGTGATCAGCTGATATTACTTAACAAAATCTATAAGTAAGTTTCAGGGAAGAACTAGGTTTACTGATATATATTTTTTATTTTATATATATGCAATCCATGGCATACGTATCATGATTTTTGGTAAATCAAAAGTTTTAATAAATGTTAAATTGATATCATATTTATTACTTGTTACATATTTTAGAAAGGTTTTTTTATAACATATAAAATAGAAGTTACATCAGCAAAATTACAGGTCATGAAAGTAATGAATTTCTGGTACTTCAAGGCATTAACAGTCTGTACTCCATTTAGTTTTCAGAGGTTTGTCATCTCGGTGATTATATATTCTCATTGCAGGGGTAACATATTATGCATTGAAGGCAAACAGGGTTTCTGCTTATATAGCATTAACTATTCAGTTTTCTTTTTTTTGGGGGGGGGAACAAACACATAACATGTTTTCATTTTTTCAAAATTACTCCCGCTGCATGAAATTCCTTTGTTTCTGGAACTTATCTAAGACAAAACTGAAGCTCAGTTGTGAGTCAGTGACTTTCCAGTCTAGTGTCCATGTGGGAGGATCTCTAATTAATGAATTTAAGTCTCTGAACATATGAATCGTTCTTGTCTGAACTGTAACATAATGAACGTGTTCACTGCGCTTATATTAAGAATTTTGAAGTAAGTCCACAGATTGTCAGAATTTACAACTAGTGCAGTAATTTGCACATTTTTTGTCTGATATGACTACATCACTTTTTGTCAAGTTAAAATAAATTACTTTTGGCCAGGCAAAACGTTGTGTAACGTTTTGCTGTGGGTTGAGTGACATGTAGAGAGTGACAGAGAGATCACTGCAGGGTGTTTGGTGAACAGTTGGAGGGGTTGCATTTCATTGGCCCATAATCCCAGTCTACTGTTCCTCCTGGTCTAGACTAGGCACCAATTCCCTCTCACTCACCCCTTCCACTGTTTGTCATAAAAATAACAAAATGATACACACACTTGCATATTCATGCACACATGAACACAGAGCAATGTACACACTTGAAGACTGAAGATGGAGGCAGCATGTGCCTTTGAAACATTATTCATGCCCACAACGACAATGTGTAACAACCCATGAACAAAATTAACATCAATAACTAACAATCACAGAATCATAAAATATTGAACACCTTCAATTCATTTTAAATGATATACAGTTTTGCTGTAGACTCTTCCCAAAACACTATCCCCATGTGATTGGCTTTCCTGACATCCACTGTTTCAAACTAGAAGTTTCTGTTTAAACTGATGATTGCTTTTGGACAGCCAAGGCTCTCATAGCAGTATCTGTCTACCAAATTATGTTGTGCTGTATCCTGTAAGACATTAACCTTGACAATTGATTTGTCTACTTACAAGTCACTGCTGGGATTGTACACTTCTTTCAACTTGTTATGTATGTCTGGGCCATGTTTCTTTGTGCAGGATGGCACAGTTTTCATAGTTTTTCATTGAATATTATCTCTATCATTGCTTACCATCAAAGAGTTATCACTTTCTTAAAAGAAAGTTGAATTTTCTCCTTCATGAGTCTTCTGATTTTAAGTTACGTTTATGCTGCCTGTCATCTTTGATTCTGAGTTCTTGAATCTAGATTAAAAATTTACAAGTAGTTACTATAGGATTCTGACGATGGTGTATAACACACTGATATGTTGGGTTTTTGGACTTTATCCATCGTCCTGGCTTTTAAGATAACAAAATAAAAACACGACGTTTCGGAAACTGGATCTGTTTCCGTCCTCAGGTGAAGGAAAATACCTATTGAGTTGGGTCTGTTAGAAAGAGCTAGCCTCAATCACTGGAGGTCCAGTGAATAGGTCCAACTGAATAGGTGTTTTCCTTCACCTGAGGACGGAAACAGATCCAGTTTCCGAAACGTCGTGTTTTTATTTTGTTATCTTAAAAACCAGGACGATGGATAAAGTCCAAAAACCCAACATTTCAGTGTAAAAATTTACAGACTGAAGAAGCACGTGATGTGATGAACCATTGTATCTTATGCATGCATGTATCTGAGTGGCCGTGTTCTAGTGATGTGTAAAAACAGTCATTTGTCTCAGAGAGCATGGAAATGTAACTTTAACTTTATATTATACACTGTCTTCATGCTTACTGTTTCGGTTTCTGTGACGGCAATTCAGGTGAAACCTGTTCGTGGCACCGCTAATGTACACGGTCAGTTGCACGTGATCACATGGCTGTGTACTTGATGCACCAGCAGTGAACCATGATGTACATTTGTCATACATTATATCACCATAATTGTAAATTACTTGTTCAATCACAGTGATGTCCATTACAACTTATCAGTGATAACCATATTAAAGTGATTATAAATTTGTAGAAAAGCTGTCAGTATTCTGATATGACATCAGGTTGTCAGGTGAAGATTTGTATTGTGATGCGGGTTTGTACCAATGTTACAGAGATAACACGCAGCTTCCATCTTGAGCCTGTTGTTCCTCCAGAATATTGGTAAAACTGAATGTGACTGTGTTATTTATTTTGTTCCATGTTCAGCCAAGGTATGTGTTTGGTTTCTGTCCTAGAGTTTGGGTTTACATGACAGTAGAAACCAAGGTATATTTACTGACTCATTTAATGAAATTCCCAATGATATGGCATGCTCTTGCAGTGGAATTCATGCTTCTTAACTAGGACATACATGTGATGATGTGAGACCAAATCTTTATAATAATGAAGCACTGATAATGGCTAGATTCAGTCTCTTCCTTTCATGTATAATGAGCTCAGCTGAGTGTCTAAGAGCACTCAGTACAGTGAAATCCCATATCTAGTGAGTATTTTTTCTGGTCTCAGTCTAAACAAATGTAATAGATACCCCATCTAGTTAATTTTTTTTTTTTGTAAATAAGTTGCATTTAATGTGCAAAATTTTCAGCCTTCCAAGATTTTTACCTAGATTTAGTGCAGTTATGCTCAAACCATCACATTTTATCTACCAGAAATTATTACAGTTAAATTTGATGTTATTAAATAACTATATTTGTGTAGGAACATTTTAATCAAATACTTAAAAATATTATATTATAATTTTAAAAATTAAGTGTGATAAGATGAACAATTTTGTGATGTAATTATGCCTAACCTCCATTTTCCGAAAACCTTTATTTAATATGAGAAAAGCCATTCCTTCAAACATTCATTAAATATGGATTTCATTGTATTTAGTCTTTGAACATGTGCCCAATGATGTAATGGTTAATTTGCAAACACATTTCTTGGATTAAGAAATGTTTATTCATGTTCGTTTCACTGAAGGGTTTAGGTGATGAGAATCTGTCTTTAAGTCGTAAAGAGTTGCTTGCATTCCTTTGCAAAAGTTGTGTAATTCCAATATTTTTTTTTTGTTTTATCTATGTAAATATAGTGTCACACCGACATTTTTCTAGAATAAAGTCATATACATTCATGAAAATCTGCAATAACAACTGCACTAGATACCAGACAGAGTCTTTCTATAGGTTTCCTCTATCAGTACTGCATTTAACTACAGTTTAACATTTCTCAGGTTTAAAAATGTGTTTAAATTATGGCCAGGTTGGAATTGTATCAGTCCGAACTCTCAGCTGTGTTGAGTGGAATGTTGAACAGTCAGTATGAATGTTGAACTTATCTGTGCAATAAACTTTTACAGTATTTACCTTTATTTGTATTGTGTTAGGCCTAAAGACACCACTTGTCGTCAGACTTGACTGACAGCAGAAAATCTGCAGAACCATAAATTAGGACAGCCTCAGTAACAGTTATAATGTAAGTAGATTTGAGGTACTCACAATAGTGACTATGAAGAGTATTGTCTGCTGGCATGTGACGCTATGTAGTCTGGTAGATCATTACCACAGATTCAAAAGACTGTAATGCCTTGATCATCAGCATAGAAGAGGCTGTTCTGTGTTCCTGTGATACGTTGGTAATCTACTGAACTATGTGGCATCACACATCAGAAGACAGCAGTCTTAGGTTCCAAGTAAATCTTTGTGAAGGTGTGGGGGCTCGAGGTTCACGACATGGTAAGTATTAAGATCAGGGTCTTCCTCACGGTTGTGATCCCATGTAGTGTCAGTGCTGGAGGTAGCTGGTTTCTTTCAAACATTGCTGTTGATTTGCCAAAGTATATGGCATCATATACAGTGTGGTTGCATTTTATGCAAATTTCAAGTAGTGCTATATAAAAAATATTAATGAAGTATCACTTTATGCACAAAGTTTGACACCCCATAAAGAAAGACATAGGAAATCTCCACTAGCCACTTTGGACGACATTAACGAGTCTGTGGTGCGAAGAACAATTAATGACGTCTACACAGTCAAAAAACGGAGACCTACCCTGAAATAATTCACGAAAAGTTGAAGAAAACGTTAGATTTTCAGGGATGCATCTCCACATTAAAGAAAATTATTTTGAAACGGGTTCTGCTGGAAGAAAACAAAAAATAATCGGCAGATACTGGTGGAACAATATAATATCAGAGCCAAACATCTTCAGTATTTGTGGCAAATTAAAGAATATAGGGAAGAGGGCCACCCAATCATTTACATGGATGAAACCTATATTCATTCATTGCACACCACCCCATATGAATGGGGCGATGGATCCATCCAGGGATTATTTTCCCCTGTGTCCAAAGGCCAATGGCTCATTGTTATCCATGCAAGGGGAAAACAAGGTTTCATCCCTAATGCCTGTGTCTGCTTCAGATCCAACCAAAAAACATGAGACTACCACAGTGACATGAACTACACCAATTATGAAAAATGGTTAAAGGAGCGACTTATTCCTAACCTTCCCCCAAATTCTGTCATTATTATTATTATTATTATTAGAGGGGGTGGGTTTCCCCATGCACTGAGACCAGTTATTGGTCCATTGTGCGTCCCCCTTTAATTTCTACTGTCCCCATACCCTACCGGTACTGGTGCGTGCTATCAGCCCCATTCAGCCAACGAGGTCAGCCGTTGGTACCTGATATTTTCCCCCTTTACCAGAGGCGTTGGAAACTACTTGGGTGGGAAATTGTTGCCCAATTTTGCTCAGAGGTCTCCTAGAGACATGAGGATCTTTTACGTGCCGTAAATCTACAACATGGGACCCATGGCTTAAAGTCCCACCTGCAGGACTTGTTCCCTGAATTTTTCCGCCCTTTAAAATTCCACGACCTCTACCGGGTTTGAACCCGCGTACCTTGAGTCATGAGGTGGGAACGTTACCCCTAGACTACAGAGCCCCTAACTCAAATTCAAGAAGAAATTTTATGATATCCTGGCTAAAATATCACCTTCCACCTATTACCTTCAATAACGCTGATTTTTCATCATTGCGGAATCCAGACATATATAATATGATCCTACCACTCAAACCGAAATATCTTTCATATAAAATAGATGGAATCTTTGCAGAACACAATCACTGTATTTTATGACTCCCTCCGTATCGCCCAGAACTAAACCTAATTGAGTTAATATGGGCCACTGTAAAAAATTGGGTTGCTCAAAACAATACCACATTTAAGATGGATGACATCATTATACTGGCAGACCAGAATTGGCTTCCATAACTGCAGAAGAATGGCAACGTAGGTGCCAACATGTAAGGAACATTGAGAAACAATTAATGGCATGGGAAGGCCTTTTGGACGCAGAACGGCAGTTCGTCTTCCATGTTGGCGATGATAGTGGTGACAGTTCTGATGATAGCTCCAATTCATCTGGTGGTGACGAGGAAGGACAGGCATGTGGAGATGATATCTATGCGGACATTGCCAGTGTTGCCCCTTTAGAATAGACCCGTGTAATATGTAAATAAACTCTTCATGTATATAACAGTGAAAAGTGTATAATAGTGTATAGTGCATAACAGTCTGCCATTTGGCACTTCACTTAACATCGGATGTGTGAACATCAATGAGAATAACCACCATCACTATGCTACACAACGAGGTAAGAAGTTATTTCCTTTTGAGAACGCATGTACTGCATTCCCCACCACACTTGTCGGCATGCTGGAGCTCTCCCCACCACTACCAATACTTCTACTCTGTGTCGGAGGACTGTCAGCTTTAGTACTACAATTATAATAAACTACACTTAATTTCAGAGTTGATAGCCATCTTGGACACACTTAAAAAACTTCCTCTCTTTCTTTCAGAATAGCATTTCACTGTAAGTTTTATTGCCAGTCATCATTCAGAAGCAAGGTTATTACACTTTTGAACTTTGTAAACTATTTATAGAGGTAAATTTTTTAAGATCAACATTGATGCAGAATAGTTTATAATATTTTAGCAGGGATATGTTCAAGTTCTTTAAAGCAAGTGACAGTGGATGAAGTTTATATCATGTTTGTGGTGTGTTATGCTAATATTGACGTTTATCTCTGTTTTCAGTTCTAGGACTTATCACACTGTGCTGAATTGTTAAGGTAATCTGTATTAGAGAAGGGTAAAGGAATGTGCATTAAGCAACCTTATCACCATGACTGTCTTTGATATATTGTGAATATTTTTTCTGAGATTTAGCCCTCTAGCAGTTCTGCATTTTGAATGAAACACAGTTTTTATGCTTGTGAGTTCATATGTGAAAATATTAATTTTGACCGTCACAGTC